CGTCGCCTCCACCTTCATCCGGTTGCCCTCCAGCTCATACCCGTTCAGCCCGTTGATGGCCCTGAAAAATAGTAATTTTTTTTTTTAATACTACCCAATGAAATATCTCCGTAAAACACATTTAAACAACACACGACGGAAACAATGCAGAAACTGACATGTAGTCGATACTAAAGGCTTACATTTAAGCAATCAAAAGTAAACTAAATTGCAATGCAAAAAAACCTTATAAACTGCTAAAATTAGTAAGTAATTAAGCAGTAGTAAGCTGGTATGACCTTTTTCAATCGTCTAATTATCAGATGTTAATTTTTGAAATCTGTTCTGTGACATCACGTTTATTCGTTAAATCAAACTACAAATCTTTCCTGTGTGTGACATCACTGTACTCGTAGATGAGTACTTGCCACTATTACTACCTACATATCGTACACCTTCACATCCACATGCCAAACTGAAAGTTACAACTATAACATAAAATATGAAGCGTTTATTGATTTCATATAGATAAATAAATAAATATACGTATTGTAGAAATTAACTTTCTATGGCCAGAATAGATAAGTGATTTTTTATAAAATAAATGTTTTACAAGACTTTCAAATGGTGACTATTACAAAACAGTTAAAAACGTCAGTAGGAGCATATATAGCTGAAGCGTTTGAAAGAAATTCATCATGTTCTGAAAAATCGGTGTCAAAAAGTATGCCAGACATATATTGATATCCTTCAGTTAACACCTAAAACTAATTTGACATGTTTAACAAGCGTCCGTAGGTCGGTCAATGAAACTGTCAAATTCATGCTTAACAATTTAAGACTCCAAATTTCAATAAAGAAATCTAAAAAAGGATAGATTCCAGAATTCCTATCGTGTCATTTCATGGGATTTGAGCGAATTCGCCTTCGCTTGCCTAAATGATGCATTTTAAATTCTTTGTATGATTTATGAAAATTTTATTTACGTTATAATATAAAAGTTTATTTACGTTCATTTTAACAGCTACTATACAAACAAGTGCAGACTTTCACGGAAACAGTGTTAGGTTCTAATGTTCATTGCATATTAGGTTTATCTTTTTTTAATTTCTTATCTCGAACGCTCGACTTATAAAAAGCACATACTTATTTATAATACTATTTTAGCCGCCCTACCACAGGTCCCACTAGATCTTACTCCGCTATCTATGTTTAGCAAGAAGGCAACCCCGCCAAGTCATGGCGGGACAGCAAAATGCCCTCGCTGCCGCCACACCGCCACCAAAATAAAGAAAAAACATTTCACAAAAACTTTACTGTATACACCATTATTCTAAAAAGCCAAACTACTCATGGTCATAATACCAAGTACGATATAAAAATTTATACAAAATTCAACATTCCAGACCACACAGGCGTAAGAAAAAAATGACAACAACAAAATATATACACGAGGAAGCTTGATTTACATTGAAAATACTTTGATGTTGGTGCAATACAATCTTTAGTTATGGGAAAAATTTACATCAATTATACTAAGTAGTTGCATTCTTTAGGCTACCTAGAAAAAATTGTTAGCAAGAGCTTTAACCTTATGGACATTGATTCAGCGGACCTAATCAGAGAGATGCGAGCTTAGGTAATATAACTTTAGCCAGGCAAGTAAAAGTCAACAAATCGTGTCGCGTTGTTTATTGGCGAGCAACAACACCGCTAGGGCAGCGGGTGGTTGTAACACGACTGTGTATTGCCATTACAACCAGGTGGTCACCTTCACTGGCTGATAAAGCTACTACACATCTTTAGTTTCAACCGAACAGTCGGATAGTCCAGTTAAAACGTACGTGTGTTGACAATAATATTGTAACTTAACCTACATAGTTCTTAGTTTCCCCATACACGCACATTATAACAAAACAGCCCGTCTGTTCAGATAGACTATGCAGTGTTCTATGAAACCGGCTAAAGCAAATACTTTACAAGTTAATTACTAATTCACACCATGCAATTAGTATATGAGTGATGCATATAATCTTAAGAAAAAAAATTATCAGAAAAAAGCGGTCATTGGTGCAGACACAAGCAAAAAATAGGAATAAAGAGTGAAGGTCTTGAGCTTTATCCTAGCAGCAGAAGATGAGCAAGGATAAGAAGAGCAAAGAATTGCGATAGATTCTGTTGATCGTTGAATACTCACTGCTGCGCCTGCTCCGGTGTTTCGAAGGTGATGTACACCGCCTGTGTGTTGGCATCACGCGCGTGCGCTGTGTCGCAGTGCTGCACGTTGCCGTACTGCGCGAGCAGCGGCTCGATATTGTCGAACCGGGCATGGAGCGGCAGCCCACTGATCAGCACCTTTGACGACCGGCTGCGGCAAGCGACAAACCACTTGTTCACATCACATTACAACAACACTCGACTAGACAGTCGCACAATACATCGCCTAACATATCATAATTATACTTGTATGTAGCAGTCTATGTATTAACTATAACCGTTGCCCACAAAGTCTCGCGCGCCTCTTGTTGGCATCAAGAATCAGGATCATGGCAATCGAAATACAGCGCATGTAGTACTTATTAACACGATTGACTGTTGTCTCATATCGCTACTTACCATACATTACTGACTGATTCGTTATGCCTTAAAGGGTTAAAGTCAAAATTACATCTAGGTTTACTAATTCAAACTATTGTTTGCCCATAGGTCGGAATTCCACGGTAATCCTAAAGATTTTTTTGATTAATCAATTTTTTACCTTGGCATAAAAAGCTCATATTTGCATTGCTTAACGGCCGGTCTCAATAACGCATCCTGGATCGGGAGATCGCTTCAATCGAGAAATAAAACGACCTGCTGGTTGATCACTAACCGGTGTCTCAATAACACCGGATAGCAAGCATCGACCGATTTTCAAAATGGATCAGCGGGATCGATGTACTTTTGTGAAGTTCCATCCTGGCGTTCTATTTCAAGCAGATGTCATTATGACTGTTGTAAACCTATTGTTTTGACGTACTAAGTAATTATTTATTTGTTGCGTATTTTACGAATAAAACGTGTTTCAACATTTTCCAAGCAAATTGTCATCAACCAATTCTCCCTTTTCGGAGTTTTGGTAGCGTAATCAGAGGAATAAATTGTCTGTCATTTGACATCAGTTGTCAATGTTATTTACATCAGCTATTAATTTGAAATTTACATA